AGCAAGTTGAATATCTTTATCGGATTCATGATTATTTCGTTTTTATATCATGCTCGTATTTTCCCCCTTGTTCTGATCTTAGCCTCTACTTTTAGCATTTGGCTCATATACAGAGTATACATTCAACCATCGGCTATAACGATCATCTTATTGTTATGGGCGACTTTAACCTCCCTGCCATATCTTGAATGCCATCAACTGATTCAATTGCTCTCGTTTAGGTACGCCGATTAATTCAATTGACGATTTTATAGCATCAATGCAACTGTTTGCATCTAATTTGAAAGTATGATACAGGTAAACATATTTTGAAAAGCCATCAATCCACGGCCAATGGGTTTGTTCACGGTCTTATTGATCTTTCATTAGGACAACTTAACTCAGTCTTGAACTGCTCCAGAAATGTTTTAGACCTTATTTTTGTCTTGCCAATGCATACGTAACTCGAATTAGCCCTCTCTCCAATCCTGAAGACGCCTACCATCCTACACTTGAGGTTACTTTTGAAGCATCAGCTCCATTACTGTCACGTCCCGAAATCGAACCAGCATCTTTTCGCTGTTTTTGTTGAATAGAGATTTATCGGAACTCCATTGGTCTTTTATGGATTCAAAAGATGACCTCTTACACATTGTATTGTATTGTTTTATGGTATACTTTATTCAGTTTTCGATACGTTCGTTCCCTCATTTCCCTCTGCAAATGCGTCTCATAAGCCCCCGTGGTTCTCTCGTAGACTCCCTTTCCTGAAAACTCCATGTCCAGACTTCTTAAGAAATATAAGAGAACTTAGTCCACAATTCCGAATGTTACAATAGTTATCTAAACCATTGCACAATATAATTCCAATACAACCACAAGCAGTTCTACGCATTTGTTAATTCGAAACGAAAATAGAAACAATTTCCATTTTATTTTCACCTTGATACGACATCCGCCTCTACTGACTCCGGTATTGCGAACTTATTTGCAAAATTTTTCCAGAGTACATACTCGTCTTTTAGTTACGATAACACTTCATCCTACCCATACCCTCTTCCTCACTCCAACTGTATTTTTACGCCCCTAATTCGTGAGGATGATGTTTTACAAAATCTGCCAACAATCAAGACGTCTTTCTCTTCGGGCCTTGTCTTTAAATAACTGTGTTATAAAAAAATTGAAGGAATCTTTTATCATTCCACTTCGTTAAAAGGGAAGCAAATCGGACATTAAAAATTACCGCGGTGTTGCAAAACTGAGCGCGATCCCCAAGTTTTTTGAACAGCTTATTACAGCTTAGCTACAGCACCAATGCAGCTCAGTAATGTCCCCAACTCAGCATGGCTTTATGAAACCAAGGTCAACGACAACAAATCTGTTTGAATTTACCTCAGTCATCAGAAGCGCTTTTAAAAATAACTATCAATCTTATGTTATTTATACAAACTTCAGTAAGGCTTTCGATTCCGTGAACCATCAGTAATATTAAAAAAATTAATACTCTTAGAATTCCCGATCCTGTTGACAAAGTGGATTTCAACACACCTGTCGAACCGGACTCAGAGAGTAGCTTTTAAAAGCACATTCTCTAACTTTGTTCACGTGACCTCAGGTGTTCCGCAAGAGAGCCACCTAGGCTCTGTTTGGAATTTTCATAAATGACTTACCTCAAGTAGTTCTCTCTTCTCATGTTATGATGCATCCAGAATTTTCTGTTTTTAAAAAAATCGAAATTTAACTTAATGTCCTTTTATCGGAAGAGGCTTCTCCTCACTTCATATTCTATTGGTCTGAATGATCTTGAACGCATAAATTTCGTAACAGACCTTAGAGTGTTATTCAACCACTATATCCCCTATACCACAAAACATTTCCTTGGTTCGTCCAATTCTTGAATACTGCTCGTGTGTTTGGTCTTCTTAATATACCAATTATCAGTACCTTATAGAATCGGTACAGAAACAGTTCCTTTTATTTGCTTTACGTAGTTCAAACTGAGATACACATCGTCACCTAACATCTTACGTGGATAGACTTCATCTACAGAACCTGTCCTCCCTCAAGGATCGTCGGACCTGCCATGGTGTCATGTTCCTTTAAAAATTAATAACTGGAATTTACATTTAAGCTACCAACTGGGTCAAATACGGTTCTTCATCCCTGTAAGGTCTACTCGTCGATATTTGTAGGAAGAATTTCGAGGTCATGATCCTTTTCGCGTTTTATGTTCGCATTATTTTCTGAATGCTCTGTTAATTTAATTGTAACAAACATCTTAACTTACCTGTCCTTAACCCCTCCCACTTGATGTGAGTCGGGTATTATGTTTATTTTGGCATTAAAAGAAAAATAAAAAAATAAATAAATAATCACATAATTCCTTAGTGTGCATCTTTGGAAATATTATATATTCAACTATCTGATTCAGATAGTTCCTATGATACAGATCTGCAAATAGATTTAACTCGATTAGGTTTTGAAATTTAAAAAAAAAATAATAGGAGATGTTCAGGTATATAAAACTATTAACTAGGCAATCATTGTCTTCTGATTAAAAAATACGTTTTCAAAGTATGCGATCGCCGAACTAGTTAAGACAAGGTCTTGACCGGATGTAGCAGATGCAATGAGAACTGTTTTTATAAATAGTAAATTTACAGCAAAAATCATTCATTTTGATCAAGGAAAAGAATTTCATTATTCCATTTTTGGGGAATTAATGAAATAATTTCATATAAATCATTATCATATACAATATATACACATATGTGAGCGTTTTAATAGAACCCTAAAAAATCGTATGTGGAAAATGTTTAGTATGTAGGGTAAATACTAACGGATTCATGAAATCAAATTTCGTTAGTATTTATGAAGGTATATGAACCCAATTGGACCATCGAAGTTTTTTAAGATATAAAAGTTAAGTCAACAGACCCAGTAACTTACGATATAGAAGATTATATGAGTGTTCCTATTGAAGGGTAGTTTTATGAAATATGAAAATCATGCCTACACAGAAAGAAAATAGAAAAGGTTCTTACTCATTCCGATGTAATTCATGACGTTTCAGTTTGATATCGTCCAAATGTAAAAACAGTACCAAATTATTAAGAAAAATGTTTATATCAAAATGTAGAATCGATGCTGTTGTAAATTTCATATTTTAATATAACAACTTTATTATTGCATATTTGTTATTAAAAATAAACAAATTGACATTATTGTATATTTCATATTTAATTATTATTATTATGTACGTTTTAGAATAATTTAAAACATATAACAAAAGTTTACTAAGTAATTTCTTTTATGAAACTGAGTTTTCAAGATGTTGTTGTGGTTGAATCGTATATGCGGTTCCTGCTAATACTTCTTAAGCATAGACACATACACACATATACAGTCACATTTTGCCGGCCAGCATAGACACTCATACACACAAAACAAAAGACTTATGAAATTTTAAATACTAAAATTATAAAGTTAGTTACAACCATAACTTATCATCCACTTACATTTCAATTATTTATAAAGTTATAAAAACACTACTTACCTTTTCTTGCACTCCACTTGTAAATCACACTTGTCTTCTCACATTAAATTCAAATACCCGAAAAACAAGCAATGCGAAAGCCATTTAAGCGGGACAACACGTTTAGAATTTCGGAGTTTGAATTTCGTAAATGTACTTTTCCTCTAACTTATTCGATTTTTGTCGAAATCTTGCATGATTCTCTCTTTTTCAACTTGAGAGAGCTTTCAAAGAGAGAGAGAAATTTAAAATTTACCATTTTCCAACATGAACTGAACCTTTTTCAATGGTAAAAATTAAAATCTCTTGTAAATATCAAATGGACCACTCGTTATCGAATTGAACTATACGATTATTTTTATACCTTTCTCGAAGAGTAATAGGTTATATTGTATTCGTTAAAAAGTATGTAACAGGTAGAAGGAAGCGTTTCCCACCAGATAAAGTATATATATTACTGAACAGGATCAATATCCGAGTCGATCTAGCCATATCCGTCTGTCTGTCCGTCTGTATGAACGTCGAGATCTCGGAAACTATAAATTCTAGAAATTTGGCAAGAGCAAGTTTATTTCAAAACGCCGACAAATCGTGAAATTATATACTGTCACTCTGAGACATGTTAGATCTATCGGCAGTCCCATACAATTTTGAAATCGAGCTATTATGTAAAAGTTAGAGGGCTTATAAAGTTAGAAGTTATGGAGCTTATAAAGTACTCTGTCTTTCCTCTGCCCCTGCTTAGCCACTGATCGGCCGCTGCTAGCAGATGGGAGAGAGAGAGAGAGAGAGAGAGAGAGAACTACAGAACTATTGGCGGGGGGAGGTGGTGCTGCACGCTGTTAGCTTCTAGTGTTGGCTATGCAGTTCGACACATGGCGCCACCTAAACTCCGATTGTTCTGTGGGGGAATATTTAGTTTGAAGTTTTTTGGCTGAGTAAAGGATGTCTAATAGTCGTGGAACTCGACTATATCGCTCTTTCATGTTTTGAAATCAGATCTCCGTTTCACAACACTACATCATTACATCATCGAATTATTCCTTGCAGGACTACTGTTCTAAGTGCATCTTGTGCATGATTCTCTGTCCCTCTTTTTGTATCTTTTTTGAGTTTTTTGAGCTAGAGTTTAATTTAACATTTTAATTAAGGGTTTCAAGTCCTGCAAGACTACTGTTCTAAAGCGCATCCTGTGCGCGATTCTCTCTCCTTTTATTTGTGTCTTTTTTGATTTGTTTGAGCTAGAGTTTAATTTAACATTTTTATTAAACTTTAGGGTTTCAAGTTATTTTTAAGTATTTTTAAGTAAGCCGGGTTTTTGCCTCTTGCTCTCTTATATCTGACGAACGATTTAAAATAGTCGCAGGGTTCCATATTTCACCGTTTCATATTCGGCGATAAGTCACCGACGCTTGTTTGACACACATCATTTTTGATAGTGAACCTTTTCTTATAAGACTCTTTGCGGTCACACTGGCAGATACAACAGATCTGAGATATAACATGTATGTTTCAGGGAAAAGAAACAGAAAACAAACAAATCGAATACCTAGTTCAACTATCTTTGATGAATGATTAACACTTTATATTATATAAGTGGAGTTTCGGAAAGCAATTGTTAAGTTAGTTGGGTGTTTAATAACTTTTTTGACTTCGGTCCATTTAAAATACTTGCAGCAAAATAAATTGTTGATATGGTTTCGACACGGAAGCGTATTGCTATTATAATATGTGTGATCGTTCTATTAGTTTGTTTATTGAGAATATTTTTCTGGAATTCACCTATACCAATTTTGACAGTAAGTACTTAGTTGTATCATGCACATTTGTTAATGGATATACACGTTGAATGTGGAAACCGGAAATTAATGTGATACACATGCCATTTTCAGCTTGCTTTCGACGGAAAATTAACTCAATGAAGCTTCGCTGCTAAAAGGTACAGGGTAGCCTACAAAAATTTGAGTTTTGAGAAAAAAAAGGGTGGATATTCTTCAAATCTGTTTTTTAATGAATAGCTCCAGCTTTGCGGTTTATTTGTGGAAGATCCCTTCATTCACATGGTTGTCCTGGGAGGCCTTGCAGTAGGTCATTCGATCGACCCATTTTTACATTTTCGTAACTATTGTCCTTAATGGAGACTTTTATCTTGTGCTTTAAGTCGTCATTCATTTTTGGATCATAGAGTAAGAACTATAAAGAGGCACCATTTGCTCTACCCGAACCTCTACCCAAGCTCTACTGAGAGCTATGTATGTATGTTCGAGGCTAAATTTGATTTCCCACCCCACTTTTCAGTTTTTGGTTCGAACTTGGTATTCGGTCCCGTGGCGAACTTGCAACGGTACTTTTCGCCCCAGCCCTTAACAATAAGCGAGCAGTTCAGCCGCAGAAACTCACCGCGGGGCCAAATTACAAGTTCGAATCGAACGGTGAGAAACTATAAATTTCCCCTTTTTTAGTCTTGGTGGCAACACTGGGAATGTCACTCGGGAGAGCGGCAGAGCAAATGGTGCCTCTATACAGTTTCTTACCCTATGTCTGGATGGTTGGTATAGCACTTATCCTAAACTGCCACCACAAAAATTGTCCAAACGAAGCTATGAGCGGCCAGATGACATCGCTTTTCCGGCAGATTTTTGTTGGAAATCATCGAAGCTTAAAATAACATTTTTTTGTTACAAAACTTGTATATATACTAATTTATTTAATTGTTAGTTGGCTATCCTACCTGAACGTTAGTGTTGGTAAGTACCTAGGTTTGAACCTATGTACAACTTATCGGTATCTTGTACCATAACTAGGTAAAAAAAATGTTAGGCTACATTTTACCTAGGCTCAGATGTTATTTAAACTGAAGAATATGCAATTAAATTTTGTGGTATCAAGCTTTGATAACACAAAATCAAATTAGCTTGATACCAATAATTTCCATTTTGTATTATTTTTGCAAGTATGCTAATAAAAATAGCGTTATTTCACTGCACCTTGGAGAAAAGTTAATTTCATCGCAAATGCAAGATAGACACATGTTTCTTTTTAAAATGTTTCTACAACCAGACTGAATTGGCGGAGCGGTTCCGATTTCCAAAAAACACATCCACCTTCCGATTACAGCTGATCTGATCAGCAACGGGTCAACCATATTTGTTTATGTATCGATAAGCCACAAGTGTTCAAATCAGCTGTTATAGTGGATAGTGCATTCTAGGGTTATGAAAATATACAAAAATATCGTATCAAAGTTAATTATTTTTTAAAAATCTGTTAAATTGATAAAATATTTATTACCCGAAAAAATCAATATATCGGGAACTTTTGATATATTTTTTTTATTACATAAATTTATTTGAATCGCCAAAAAAAGCTTGTTTTGTTTTATTTTTCACATTTTTATATTTCTTTATTTCATTAAAGAAGAAAAAACAAACATTTAAAGTTACTTCTTTCTTTTTTATTAAATTCCTTATTAAATTACTCAATAAATATAAATTATGATCCCTAGGCCTAGTATTAAGAACGACAAAAAGCTATGGGAGCGAGCGAGATTCGTAATTTGCCACTCACTCAATTCCATATCTCAAAATAGGTTTTTTTTTTAATGAAGTCAAATAAGATCGAAAGACATCAAAGTTGCAATCGAACCATCACAGAAGATTTTCAATTCTGCGGCTATACATAGTAGTCTCCTATGCACATGCTCTTGGTGCGCATCGTCAGTACATGTAATGCCGCCAATAGTGATATATTTTTTAGAGACGCTTTAAAACTAAAGGAATCGTGACAAAATTAGAGATTTTTACTTTGACGTAATATTTAATATATATAGATAATGGTTAAAGCCGGTGAATTTTAATAATGCGATGGTTTATTAAGAGTGTTTGTCAGCAATACAATGGTAAATAGGATTTTCATATTCTTAGCTTTACTGCGGAACCCTTAGCTGGAGGAACATAAGTTTATATGGAACTTTTACTCAGGAACACCCAATTATTATGGTACAATTGGCCTGTGGAAATTTGGAAATTTCAATTTTGTGTTTCTGTGTTACTGGTTATTTTTTTTTTGGTAAAATTTAAAAAGTAAAATTCAATTTAAGTATCCTTGGAACCGAAGGATTCTTCATTCGTACGCGAATTTTTGAATAATGTATCATGGGTATTGGGTATAATAATTTCAGTCCGAAGTGTGCAATGCAGTGTTGGATACATTTCCGACCCTATAAAGTGTATATATTCTTGATCAGCATCACTAAGTGAGTTGATCTGATCCGTCCGTTTTTACACAAAGTAGTCTCTCATTTTTAAAGCTATCTGCATGAAACTTTCCCAAAACTTGTTTTCAGAACGGTCTAAAAATGTATGAGCGCTTTCCTGGCGTTGAAAGTTCCGCCTTTCGTCTGTTGCTAGTTTATCCCCTTAAATAAGTCTAATGTAGCCTAAGAAGAAGCTGCGCTCCTTACATTTTATCCTACGAGATCTAAAATACATTCAAAAATATATATTGCGTATTTTACGATCGCCAGCGCTGAGCGTTCGATAATTTATACAAATTAATGGTGAAGTAATTAATAATGGTGAAGTAAAGATGTAGACAAGAAAAGTCTTTTTGTTGAAATTTTTTTGTTATCATTGGCGACGCGGGGCCAGAAGGTACCGTATTCAAAGGTTGGCAAGTCGTAACCCAATTAATATGTTTAGGGGGTTTTCAATTTGATTGAAACGAAATTAATTGAATTCGTTTCCTTCATTTTAATAAATTTGCAAACATTAGAAATATTTTCAGACTATTAATTAACAAACAATATCTTAAAAATATCCTAAGTAGAGTACTGTATTGTATGGTAAGTAAGGATTATGTCAACTCCCACAAATCCCCAATAAAGAAGGACTTTAGACTCCCACCACGAAGCCAAGTTTTTATTGATATGATTTCAAATGGCTATACACAAATTACACTAGCTTACAGTCAAAATACGACTGCTGGATTACGTATATAGTATATACTATATACCACTAAAATTATTTTCTTTGGGACAGTTTTTGTAAAAGATTTTTTTAAGTTTTTGTCAGTTGTCTTTTCCAGTTTTGTTTTATATTTCGAGTTGTGGCCAACCGATCTTTGTGTGTTTTATAAAATGTTGCTGTCAATAGACCAATCTTAAGCATTGGCATACTGAATAGTTGGATTGGATACGTCGTTTAGTGAATTAGTGTGACATGAGGTGCTGTTTGGTTTATAAACGCAATCATTTGATATATTGTAATGTGCTTGGTTAAGTTTTGGGTGATCTACTAGTGTCATGAGACCCAGGGGTTGAACTCCTGCATAAATTAAACATATTAATCAATAATTTCTTGCATTTGACTTAACCGTCGTTTGAGGGCACGAAAGTGCTTGCTGGCTGTATCGATTGATTCTCCTAATAGACTTTAGTTGTTTTTAAACGGAAGGCGGACAACAACACGACCGTATATGTCCCAACGAACTGTATCCAGAAATATCTATTCGCACATGCGCTGTTCTGACAAGACTTCAAAAAACGTTTCTGTCCGAAGAAGTAAATCGGTACGCCGAGATTCATTAAAATATTGATCCATGCTGGTTCAATGTCATTGGAGCGAGACTTGATTGTAGAGGTAGTTCACTGCTTAATTTGGGTACGCGAATCACCTATGATACGAATTTATCGGTAATAAAATTCATCTGAGAACAGGAGTCTAATGAAGCCCGTCCTATTCTGAAGCAGCCGCTGGCATCCTTGATCAAGTTTGCTATATTGATGGGTGTGCGTTACTGCCTCAAAGATCTGTGGCGGATTTGATCGAGCTTGTGAGCCAACTGCGACTGATGAATCTGGACGGCTGCATCTCCATGAAATAAAGTGTGATGTGCGACATCTTTGCGTAGACGGGCACCTGTATACTTAATAACCCTTGCAAAGACAGTTGTGACAAAGACCTAGTCTTTTCACCCGGTTGAAGTGATGTTCAAACGATAGATCGAAAGGTTTTGTGGTCTCCGCAATAATATGTATTATAAGTTTGAGCTGTTCAACTAAAGAATACATTTTATCGGTACCGTTGGGGGCGTTGCCTGATTGAGTTAGATGTGTACGGATTTCCTGGATATTAAGTACCGACAATGACGCTCAGTCAATGACAAAGTTATTCCAAGTTGGAAGGTTGATGTAGTCTTAGGGATTCATTACACATTCGCTTTGTTTCTTGATCTACCTTGCTACTGATAATTAAGTGTGCATTAATTGGGTGATTTTGTGTTCATTGCCCATAAGTGCCATTGCGTTATCAATAAGACTACGTAGTTGTTTGTTGTGAATACGATTTGTGTAGCGACAGCTAGACAAATGTTCCAGTTATTAATGTATGCGTAGATTAATTAAGTACACATAATCGTGCGAATAGACGATTTGCTACTTTACTAATTATCAAGTCACTGCCCCAAGTTGGGCGCCAAAATGAATGGTCAGAAGGTTTTTCCTGGTCTTGTTTATTTATAAATTCAAATTTTTAAAAGTTCTGCTGCTGTCGTGGTCTTTATACAAGTGTGTATGTTTCCTGACAACGAAGATTATCGAAACGTAATGTTAGCTATGCCGTTTAACAAGATAGGATATTAATTATTATTAATATTTCTTCTTCTTATTCATGACGCGACATTTAAATTACCAATATTTTCAATAGACCCGGTACATTCTGAAGGATATTTTCTATGCAACTCTAAAATATTTCGGTGGCTGATGATATCCCGAATTGCAGCCTGGTTACCATAAATGCGG